AGAGAGAGAGAGAGAGAGAGAGAGAGAGAGAGAGAGAGAGAGAGAGAGAGAGAGAGAGAGAGAGAGAATATGGGCAATGAGATGGGTCATCCAGTACAAACTCGTGCTTCAGCCCATATGGTGGGTTGATTATTGCAACAAGTATCCGTTTGGACGTGGTGATTCCAGATCATCACAACGAGGAGGAAAGACTCACCAGCATTTAATGTAAAAAAGGGTCTTCAAACAGAAGAGAAAAACGAGAAACAGCCGCTCTCTCTTTCTCTCCCCCTCTCCCCCTCTCCTCCTCTCCCCTTCACGCTCCCTTCCTCTCTTTCATGAACAAAAGGGTCCTGGAGCAGAAAGAGAAAAAACTTGAAGCAAAACTCTCTCCCTCTCTCTCTCTGTCTCCCCTCTGCCCTCTCGCGTCCTCTCGCTCTCTCTGTCCCTCTCTCCCCCCCTTACCTCTGCCTTGCTCTCTCTTTCATTCACCCCTCTCTCTTCTCTCTCCGGTTCTCTGTTTGTGGCTCTTATGTGTGCATGGATGTGGGTTGTGACTGTGCATGTGTTTTCTGTCCACAGCTTGTCTGTCCGCGACCTGACGCCGTACGTCAAGGACGGAGATGTCGTCTCATCGGAACACTTGATAACTTTGCTTGTGGTGGTCCCGCGGTACTCGGAAAAGGACTGGCTTCAGTCGTATGAGAAGATCTCCACCTTTGTGGTAAGATAGTGACATGGATCATGTGCCCTCCTTTGCGAGATATTGATCATACACCCTACTTGCTCCTCTCCTCCCACTTCTCTTTCTGCCTACGTTCCAAACGAATAACACTTCACCACGAGTAAGATAAGGCGGCAGGCCTTCTCAGTGGCTTGGCCCACTGAGAAACATCATCTGGTTGTATTAGAGGCCCATGCGTCTAATGATGGATATCAAGTTGCAGGCCCTGTTTTCCACCTAACTACCATCTTCACCCGAATAGAACGCCCAGTCATTATCGCTGCATCTGGACTGGAAGTTGTGCCAAATACAGCTATAACGACCGGGCGTTCTGTTCGGGTGAAGACGGTAGGTAAATGCAACATAAACTGATTGGTTAGTTGAACTTAGTCCTCCTTGGAGCGCGGTCCGTTTCCTTTCTTGTTTCTGGCTACCAGCTTCTTACACATTGGGTTTCCTTCCCCTCCTCTTTCCTCCTCCTCTCAAGCACAACAGTCAAATTCCTCTTCCTCCTCCCTCTTCCCACCCCAACACAAGAGCCAAATGTTTGCCCAAGCAATGCAGCTATTGCTGATCTAGCTTATTCGATTAAACCACCAGTACTTCGCGGCTAGTTAACGGCCGCGACTTTCCGGGGGAACACGCCTGGGCCGCTAGTATAAATTCAGTCAAGTGGAAACGTCGCAAGTTTTTATTTTGGCTGGCCATTAACGAGGCGCGATTCTCCGAAGTACTGGTGGTTCAAGGAACTGGGAACAGATGATTCTATCCATGAGCTGGTGACCGCGATGGAGAGTCCTGCGTTCTGTTTTGTCAATGCGCATGCAACAACTACGAGAGCAATCTTGTCAGCATATCGCACAGCTCCTCAACTTCAAATCCCGTTCGTCCGAAGGCAACTGCTCGCTGATTTTCTCCCCTATCTCATCAATGGGTCTCTGAACGACATCTTCGATGGTCAGCTGCAGCGATGCAAACATGGGTACACCCATTTTAACATGAACTTACAATGACAACACAACTGTGCCCTTGTCCTCCTCACTACTGCACCCACCGCCTCGCCCTTCCCAACTCCTCCTCTTCCACCTTGTTCTCCTCTTCCCCCCGCTGTTGCTGCTGGCAGCTGCCATCCCCTTCTTTCCTCTACCTCTTTTATTCCTTCTTCTCCATGGCTGATTGACTTCTCTCTCCCCGCACTCTACCTGAAGAGTACTTCGCCGTTCCCGGATGGTAATCAAGGTCTCAAAGTCCCGGATGGTAATCAAGGTCCCAAGGTCCCGGATGGTAAATGAAGTCCTGACCATGAGTGACAGTCAGTCACCATAAGTAATCAAGGGCAGTGGAGCTGACAAGTGGGAAAAGGGATTTGAACCCTTAAACTTAGACTCGGCAAGTGTATACTCTCCGCGGTCAATCCACTTTGTAGTGCGGTCGCCGTGAGATGATGTTGAGGCGGGAGCAAGGAATGATAACTCATACCTACCCCAACCAGGCCCAATAAAGCCCTCACATCTCTTCCAATCCAAGGGATGAGTCATTATTGTTGCCATCAATGAGAATGAGAGCAACGACTGCTCCCACGTCTCATCAACTCAGGTGTGCTCGACTGAGTCGAGCGTGTTCTGCTGCTGTGATTGTTAAAAAATAGTTGTGGATCTGCTGAATCCTTCGAAAAAATGCCAATGATGCCAAATACTTCAACGTTACATGCACAAAGCAGTTTGTGTCTTTTTCTGTTTTTGTTTTTGTCTTTTTTTTTCAGAATGTCTACCACTTCGTAGTGAACAAATCTGCAATTTCCTGTGGCTGTATTCCAGGTGCCAAGATCCTCCAAGAAGCTCTTTGAAGACAATGAATATGGGCTTTTCACAGTCACTCTTTTCCGGAAAATCGTCGACACTTTCAAAGGCGGAGCGCGTGAAAAGGGTTTTCAGGTAATTGGTTTTGAAATTTGAAAGGCACATGGTCGCTTTCGAATGCTGTTGTAGAACGTTGTACTTTTTTTTTTTTTTTTTTTTTTTTGAATTTGGACCGTTTCTCGATTTATGCGTGTCATCCTTGCGCAGGGGCCATGCTAATCTTCTCTGTATCGTTCCAATTTTAACGGATGTCCCGAAGGACAGAACCTAAAGAACCTTGTACTTCTGAGAGGCTAACGCATTAAAATTTTGGAAGCCCCTGCCTGTATGTATGTAGGGGTGAACAAATTAAAAGAAGTGGGATTTTGTAAAATAAAATTTCAGGAGTTCTCTGTATCCGTAGCAGATGCTGTTCAAGTACAGTCGTAAAAGAGAAAGGGGGAAAAAGGAGAAAACAAAAAATAACAAAAATCAGGAGTTCTCAAGAACAAAAAATCGTCAATAAAGGTATGGTGTAATTATGGAATCTTCAAACAGTTTGTGACGGAGCGATGCAACTCCAAGATCTTTTATTAAATAGATAAGGATAGAAATAAAAGAGCTTTTGTGTTGTTTGTCTAGGGAAAGCTTATTTGCTCATCATCCCAGAGAGCCCCCCAATTGGTCAGGTGTGTTCATGTCGTCGTCGAGCACGGAATGTCTTCATATTCTTTACCCCTTGTTTTTGTGTGCACCCTTCCTTGTGCGCGTGCAAGAGAGAGAGAGAGAGAGAGAGAGAGAGAGAGAGAGAGAGAGAGAGAGAGAGAGAGAGAGAGAGAGAGAGANTTCGAAGTACACATTCATCAGATAGTATAATGCCGTCCAATTGCAGAAAGAAATGAATGAACTTGAGAGGAGAGAGAGGGTAAGAAGAAGAAGAAAAAAGAAAGAAGAAGAAGAGGATGTACACCAGCATAGACAAATGACAAAGCTGTTCTTCTTCGCCAATCACTCTCCTCCTTTACTCCTCCTTTCTTATTCATACAAGAAATAATAGTACAATTTTGAATGGCTGATCCAGAATCAATGTCCGAGTTCCTCTTCTGCTGCAGGTATCACTTGAGGTCCACCATAGCCATGGCCGCCTCCCTCACTCTTCACTCTCATAGGCCGAGGCTATGGCGGACTACTTGGGCCTTGCCCTGATGCCCAAAGGACAACCCAAAGCAGCTATGGCTGCTCTAGCTCAGGCCGCCATGCCTGACTCTGCCTTGAAGCTTCTTGGTGTAGTTCTACCCCAGCTGGGCTCTCCCTGCTGCAACGCCCACCAAGGTGATGAAGATGGCTGCCACCATAGCCAGGTATGTACCTCTGGTGCTCCCCCTTCCTCCGTGTCCTTGCTCCTTCCCCAGCACCGCTGCTCTTGCTAGGGCTGCTGCAGCCAGGGCTCCAACCAGTGTGTCGCCAAACTTGCACACCAACAATGAGGCTGGGCTCTTCGCCCGGCCTGGAGATATAGCGGCCTGCTTGCCTCTTGGGCGGTGACTTCCAGGCCGCTCGGCCCTCCCAGCAACCAGTACCTCCTCCCTTTTGGAGGGAATCATCATTGCAGACTCTGATATTGCCCGTACAGGCCCTAGACTCAGACTGGTTGGACTGGTACCCGCCTAGACCTTGCCTACAACTACTGGGCCTCTCAAAATGCCACTTTTGTCTTCTTCTGCTTGGCCTTCAGTACCCGCACATCTACCTCTTCGGAATGCGGTACCGGCCTACCTGCTACTTGAGTGTTTTCCCCTCGCTGCAATCCCTCAATGTCACGGCCACATGTAAGTACCGGCCCTGAGGGCCCAACGAACGGACAAGTACCCTTGCGTGTCACACACACACTCAAGCCAACTAGCACTCAGACAGACATGCAGACCAGCAAGCGTGCCCACACACACAGACATGCAGAACTTAGTAGCAAGCGGGAAACTCAGCAAAGCATTCAGTCCGTGAGCAAAACTCAGAAATCAACCGTGTGTCTCAGTCCGTGTTTGGTCGGGTAATCACAGAGAGAGAAATGGTTTGGTGGAATGAGTTCCTTGTGGGGATATCAACTGTCAGTTTCAAGTGGATTCAATCACGTGCGACCGGTAAAAATCACAAATTTCAAAGAAAAGGCTGTTAAGTCTTAACCCATAATGTTTGGTTGACCTTGGAACTTTCATAACTTTGAATTTTAAAGGCTTGGCTGCATTTTGAACTTTGTTTGAAGTGCAATTTCCTGAAAATGTGTTAAGGAAGGAGGAATTTCAAAGTGAACTATACTGTCTTTTGGTTGCAAAACCCAGCTGGCAAGGCATGTTGAATCGTTGATCGATTGCGCATCAAAGCGCTTTGATTGCCCGGTTAGCTGAGGTGAGCTGCATTGCATCATCTATATTTATTTAGAGTTATATTTTGAAATGTTTTGTGTGTGTGTGATGCGGTGTTTTTTGTTTTCCCCCGAAAAAGATATCCTTTTTCTCCTTTGGTCTTTCTTTCTTTTTTCCTTTTTTTTTTTTTTTTTAATTCTCTATAACCGACAAGATGGGCTGTGTTTTTTGGCTATAGGTCCGCGAGTTCGAGCATGATCCACAGGGGGCAAAGGTCAGGGAGGAGGAGGTAGCTCGCTTGCAGTGCGACCAAGAGAATCTTCGCTCCCAGCTGTTGCAGTGGTGCTCAAGCAGCTATGGCGAGGTGCAGTGCATCCCTCGTTTCCATCATCTCCACTGCTTCCTGTTCCTTGAATTTCCTTGAAAACTGAAAAAAAAAAAAAACTTGTTAATGATGAGCCAAATCCTATGTTGGTTTGCCTGTCTCGTGCTGCTGGATGGTAGGTACAACTGTGTGAGTCTTATGCTGGTTTGCCTGTCTCATGCTGCTGGACGGTAGGTACAAGTGTGTGAGTGTTAGTAAACAGATCAAGAGTTCAAATCCTCATGGACCCAAGAAAAACCTTGCTAATGATGATCCAAATCCTATGTTGGTTTGCCTGTCTCACGCTGC